CTCTCTCCCTCTCGTCTCTGTCTCTGTCTCTATCTCCCCAGCCCCATCACACCCTGGCTTTTCTCATGTGTCTCCACCTCCATCACCAAACCTCGATCACCACCCAGATTCCTTTCCCGGGACAAAAAGGATGTAGGCGGGGTTGGTTTTCAGGTTTTTATTGTGGGTGTATTTTTGGCAGTGGGACAGGGGCGGGAGGGCAGACTCTTCCTGCAGGGACCAGAGGAGGCCAGGCCTGACTAGTGGCTAAGGGGGAGGGAGGCGGGAACGTCGTTACCCTCGGATCTTCAGCTCCCGCGCCATCTGACAGAGGGCGCAGGGCAGACAAAAGGTGAGGGTCGCCCAGTCGTGCCCGACGGAGCCCTAGAGCATGGGAGAGAGAGGTCAGGAGAGCCCGCGGAGGGGGGTCCCAGGTGCCCGCAGAGGGGGTCCCCGGCAGGCACCTGGATGTGGTAGCGCTCGCGCATGCCAGTGCGCAGGGAGTGCAGGCCTCCGGGCAAGTAGGGCGCGCAGCAGCACTCGCCGAAGTCGTCGGAGATGCGGCAGGCGAGGCACAGGGGAGCGAAAGTGCCGCACAGACCTGGGTGGGTCGAGGACCACAAATCAAGGGCGAGGGTTAGGGTGGGATGGGGTGGGAGTGGGGGCAGCTGCGAGGGTCCCGGAGGGATCTGAATGTCGGAGGCGACAGAGAGGTCCTAGAGGGGACTGGGGCCCGAGGAGGATGGCTTAGCGTTTGAAGAGGGAGCTGGCATCAGCAGGGGAAGAGGGGAAGTTGAGAGTTGGAAGCTGAAGATGGGGATCTAAAGCGTGGGGGTCCGGGCGAACTGGAGGGGATGCAGAGCAGAAGTGGGAGGGCAGCCAGCAGGGGCAACAGGCAGGTGGGGGTAACCTCCCTCCTCACCCTCCTCCCCAGCACTCACAGACAGGCATGTCATTGCAGCAGTCAGTGAGACCCGTGTGCCAGTCACTGAGCTGGGTCTGGTAGCAGGTGCTGGCACACTGGGGCTGCGTGGTCACTGGGTAGGACATAGCTGCAGAGGGGGAGAGGTGTCAGCAGACAGCCAGGCTAGACCTCCTGGACCCCCTGCCCCTGCCACCCTTCCCTCTGCCGGGCAGTCTAGGCGGGGCCACCAGGCCGCCCATGGTGGGGACACCATTGCACCTTCCTGTCCCTTCAACCACGTGTTGGCATCCACGCCCCAATCTGTCCCTGTTGTTTGCTGCCTCTTGCACATTTGGTTAAGATGGGGTGGGGTAGGGTGGGGTAGAGTGAGGGGTCCTGCAGTCCTGAGCAAGAGTGAGCACCGCCTCTGGGCAGGGCCTGGACGTGCCACCTCCTCCACCACATCTGAGTCTGAGTTCCAGCATCTTGGAACCTCTGGGGAGGGAGGCAGCCGGGTTCCCGGTACTGGGAGGGTTGCAGCTGCAGGTCCATCCAGCTATCCCACCTTTGCCTTTCACGTTGTTGTCGTGCATCTCAAACTGCATTTTGCCGGCCCTGAGGAGGCTGCGGTGTGGATGGATGCAGAGGTGACTGCAGCAACAGCGGTGAGGTCTGTCCAGGAGATGCAGGAGACGGGGAAGGGGAGGGCAGGGGACTGGGGACTGGGGGGTGGCTCTCAGGGGAAGGGAGCTGGGGAGAAAGAGGCTGAGTCAGCCTACTGGCTGGGAGAGACATGGAATCAGGGATGGGTATGTGGGGGGCGAGAAACTCGCCCATCTCTTCACAGCTGCCCGACAGACCCCAGAGGACCCACCTTATGCCAGAGACAGCTGCACAGAGAAAGTAAGAGACAATCAGGCAGAGGCACACACAGGTGAAGAGATCTGAGCCAGGTGCCCAGAGGGGGCAGTGAGTGATACCCACATGTCCCAGTCACCTTGGCTCCTCTGCAAGTCCACTTCACAGAGGAAACCAGAGGCTCCGTGAGGTGGTGAGAGATGCTCACCTCGGACAGCCCAGACCAAGGTGGTTGGAAGAGGGGACGCTGAGCCCCAGAGTGGCCAGGCTCAACCTAGTGCCTTGCAGGGTGAGAAGGCAGACTCAAGTGATGCTGAGAAAGACAGCTGTCCAGGAAGACAGATATCACAGAGATCCACGAAAGGAGATGTGAGCAGGGTGGGACAGCAGAGCAGAGGAGAGGCTGCAGGAGGGAAAGGCTGCTCCTACCTTCAGCTGGAGATGCAGTGATGGAGACAGGGATGTAGGTGACACCAGCACTGGGTTCCCTGTCACAGGCTGGGAGCTTCTTATATGGGTAGTGCCACACAGCCCTGGGCGGGGCTGTGACAGAGATGCCCAGGGAGCTGAGCCGGTCTGGCTGACCCTCTTCTCTTCACTGGGATTTCCAGCCCTACTTTCCCATTCCCCACCCCCCACCCCCAACCACATGCCCTATAGCCTCACATCCTAGGATCTAGGAAACAGTGGGGGTGAAGGGTAGGGGTGGGGCAGCTGGGTCATCCTGCAGAGATCCAAAGAGACTGAAGCAGAGACATGGAGAGGAGATGGGGGATGGAGAGACAAGAGAGATACAGGGTGGGAGTCGGAGAGAGGAGACCCAGAGAGCTGAAGAGAGACAGGAAGACAGAAAGATGGAGAAAGATGCTGAGGCAGAGGTGGTAAAGACTCAGGAGAAATAGCAAGAAGGAAAGTTAGGGTTTGGGTAAGAGGCACAGAGATGGTCAGGTGGAGGGGAGCAAACGGAGGAGGGAAGGTGTTGGTAGAGAGAAAAGGGCCAGGTGGTGCACAGACTGCAAGGGGGTGCCCCTTGGAGACTCTCTGTCTTTGTGCTTAGTGACCTTGCCACTTCCTGGGGAGAAAGGGGCTTTAATGAACTGTCACTTCCCCTATAATCAGGGATCATCCTCTTATTCAGGGCCAAGAGGTGAAGCAAAGCACTGTGTTTTAGAGAGTGATTCTGGCCTGGACCAAAGTCAGTATCACCCCTCCCCTCAATTCCAAACTGGAAGGTGAGGGGGCTGTGAGCTGAAGTGGCACTGAAGTACATGGATGCAGTCCTGGTCATATCCTAAGTCCTAACAGAGCAGAAGACTGGGGTTGGAGGTTGTGGATCCTAGTTCTGAAGGAAGAGGCTTGAGACTAGAGCCCTGGGTCTGAGAGACAAGGGCTGGGGTCTGGGGTGAGGAGCTGAGGGAGGAGAGACCCCTGAGAGAGGAGGGAATTGGGGTGTAGATCCCTCAGTTTGAAGTAGGATGGCATTGGACCTAGACCCATAGGTCCCATCTCCTTAAACTCCCCTGTACATTCCTAGGTAGGCGGGGGTCCTGGGTTCCAAACTGCTGGGCTCCAGAAGGGAAGGCTGGATTCCTGAGTTGTTGAGGTCTCCCCTCAACAGGCTGGACAGGGTTGGCGGTGACTCAATGAGGGAAGCGGTGTTAGAGCTGGGTGGGGTTCCCAGTCCGGGTGTTACCTCAAAAATGTAGGAGGCACCAGAAAGTTAGGGTGTTAGCTGTGGAGAAGTGTTGTCATCATTCCACACTGGAGGGATATGGGGTGATGGCAGGTGGGTCACCTGCTGGCCTGCAAGCACAGCCTTCCCCACATCCAGCACATCAGGACCCAACGCTTTCAGCCCAACAGTTGGCTGTCCCTGTCCCCAGATTAGCGAGTGGTGCTCGTGGTCTTGGCTGTGCAAGTCTGTCACTCAGTCTGGGAGCCTGTGTGTCCTGAGGGCATGTCCTCGCTTTGTTCTCATGTCCCTGCTTTCCCATCTCTGCATCTTCATCTCTAATCCTGAATCTTCTTCTTGTCTCTGCAATTCTGCTTCTTTGGTGGAGCTGGGGATTGAACTCAGGCCCTTGCGCTTGACAGGCAAGTGCTTATTCTACTGCGCCATCTCCCCGGCCCCCTCCCCTTATCCCTTCCCATGTCTCCCCTTTTCTAGGCCTGTTCCATGGAGGAACTGTTGCTGCTCCAACTGTTGGCTACAGGTGACTCAAGGCTAGGCATTTCTGGGGACCCCAGGGTTCCCAAGATGATAATCTGAGTTGTCCAAGTTTCCTCTTCTTAGGGGCCAGGGAGATAGCTCAGTAGAATAAGTGCTTGTCTGGCAATCTCCAGTTCCACAAAAACAAACAAACAAACAAACAACCAAAACAAACAAACAAACAAAAACAACACCCAAAAAAACAAGTTTCCTCATCTGATATAGTTTGGAGGCCCCAATTAGACACAGCTCACGTAGATGAGGGAGCCAGAACTGAGGAGAAGCTGTGAGGTGGCTGACTGGAGCACAAGGAGATCCTAGAGCGAGAAGAGGACAGCCAAGGAGGTAGAGGCTTGCCTGCGGCCCAGCTAGCAGGCAGCGTGCCTGTGTCCTCCTCTCACATGGGGTTAATGAATAAATACAGGATACCTAGATCAGTGGGGATTTCAGATGCGCAATAAATGCTTTTTCAGTGTTAGTGTGTTCCATATGCTATACTTACACGAGAAATGATTTGTTTCCCTAAAATTCAAACTGAACTGGACTTGCTCATATATATATATATATATATATATATATATATATATATTTTAATTTATTCTTAAACTTTTAGGTGCTGGGCCTTTGCATCACTGAACTATTTCCCCAGTTTAAAAAAATTTAGAAAACAAACAGGATCTTGGTTAGTTACCCAGGCTGGTGTCAAACTCAGCCTCCAGAGTAGCTCGGATTACAGGTTTGCATCACTGCTCTGAGCTGAACTTTTATTTTTCTTTCCCAAGATGCCTAGTCTAGGCTGCTAGTCCTCCCTCCTCTGGAGAGTCCAGTGCTGGGTCCCCTTCCTCATTTCCCTGATAAAGAGTTGGGCATCAACCCTATCCCCACACCTCACGTCCCCATCCCCCGTTCCCTCAGTACACAGAGGCCAGGCTGCCAGCCCCAGAACCCAGGAATCCAAGTATGAACCTCGTTGCCCAACGTGGGTTTCACAAAGCAGGTTGTGCCATCTGTGGCCCTGGTGGAACCGGTCTGGCTGAGCTGACAAGTAGGGGGCTCCCTTCCCATCCTAAACCTGCTGTTTCCTTGAGGGCCAGCCCAGGGGAACAGGAGGGACTCTGGGAGCTCTTGGGTGTGTCAGGGTCTGGCTTGGGTGTGTTATGTCTCCAAGGTGGTTGTGTGACTGTGAGGATTGTCACAATGCATCTCTCTCTCTCTCTTTTTTTTGTGGAACCGGGGATTGAACTCAGATCCTTGCGTTTGCCAGTCAAGCGTTTATCCTACTGAGCCATCTCCCCGGCCCCCATGCATCACTCTTTTCTTTCCCCTTGAGTACTGGGGATTGAACTCAAGCCTTCACACTGCGCTATAATTACAAGAACCCCCCTACCCCACCGCCGTACCTTTTGGAGACAGTCTTGCTAAATCACTGAATTGCCCAGGTTGGGTTTGAATTTCAATCTTGTTTGCCTCAGAGTCCTGAGATTACAGGCTGTACCATTATGCCCAGCACAGTATTTCTTCTTTTTGTAGATTCTGTGGTCTGCAGTGTGGCATCTGAGGAGTGGCTTCTCTGTGTGGTATTACACACCTGTGTTTGTTACTCTGCACTTATATTTGAGGATGTTATTATTTATTGTGGGTCTGTATTTTGACTCAATTAAGGCAGTGTTTTTTTCATTGTGAGGCTTTTTGGGGGCTGGGAGGAGACTAGAGATTGAGTCCAGGGCATGCATATCGAGCTAGTTCCCAGCCCTTTAATTTTTTTTATTTTACTTTTAATGTATTTGGTTCTTACAGGGTCTTATTACACAGCTCGGACTCATAGTGATCCTCTTGTTTTCAGCCTCCCCAGGGCTGGGATTACAGGTGTGCACCACTATGCTTGGACTCTGTGGCAGGCTCAGCCCACCCTGGGGACAGGGCTGGCATGGCATGTGGGGCTGGGGATCAAACCTTGCTCTCTATGCTTGCCCAAGCAGAAGCTTTGGTCTGCTGAGCTATCTTGCCAGCCCCCAATTTTTTTATTTTGAAACAGGTTCCCACCAAGTTCCTAAATTGTCTGGGCTGGGTAGGATAAAACTTAATGATCATCCTGCCTCAGCCTCCCAGAGTGCTAAGATTACAGGCACCAGTCTCAGCTAAGGCAGCAATTATGTGATGGAGTGTAGAGCCAGAAAACCTATGTTGAAACCCCAACTGCCTGCTTTTGAGATAGGGTCTTGATGTAACCTATGAACTCATGATTCTTCTGTCTCAGTCTTCCTAGTGTTGGGATTACAGCCATGCGTCACCATGCCCAGCTTTAACTGCCTCCCACTGACTTGGAGACCTCAGCCATTTCACCAACCTTCTCTGCACCTTAATTTTTCCATCTGCAAAATGTTATTTTTGCAAATAAAATCAAGAGGATTAGATGAGTTCATTCATGTTAAGAGCTTAGAATTAATTGTGCCTGGCATACAGGAAACATTTTCTGTCTGTGATGGTGACAGTCATAATTATGGTCTGTTAGTTGCTGAAGATCCAAATGAACAAAATTGGGGCTGGGGAGATAGCTCAGTGGCTTAAGCACCTGCCTGGCAAGCACAAGGTCCTGGGTTCTATCCCTGGTTAAAAAAAAAAAAAAAAAAAAGCGCAATACTAACAAATGAACAAAACCATGTCTTTGCTTGCTTGCAATTGTTCTAGTGGGGACTGGCCAGTGGCCTCTTGGTGGCTGGGCATGGAGGCACACAGTGTATAAGTATCTCCTGCTAACCGATCGTGCCACTGGAGCACCAGTGTCACACAATGTGGAACAGAATTGCCTGTCAGTGCAGGCAATTCTGTGCCTGTGTTTGTGTTTGTGTTTGGAGGTGATTATATATCTTGTCTTGTCTCTTCTTCTTCTTC